CAGTGAGGGGCAAATCCTGTTAATGAACAAATTAAAGTTCAAACAGTGATTCAAGTTCACAACCTCTCCGTGGCTCTTCTCTTTAATAAGAGTTATACATGTTACTTTCCTCGCTCTTTTCTCCCTTTTATTACTTTTTAAGCTTTTCATCAACACTGCCAGGGCATATTTGAGGCTCCCAACCTTTCAGCTCTGACAAGGATTCGAGCAGTTATAATCCCATCTTAATTTGGCAACTTTTGTAAAACACATAAAGGGCCCAAAGTCACCTTTAGTTGCCAGGGCCCCAGGGTGACCCTCTAGCTTCCACCTCCCACCAGGGCTGCATGGGCCACTGATCTCAGTATTCCTCTCCCTCTGGCTGTCAGGATGAGATGACTCAACTTCCTGCCCTGGGGGCACAGTCATACTGGACCAGACCTAGGTAGTCCAATATTCAAGCTTTTGCTTCTCTCGGTTTTCTCTTCAGATACTGGAAAGGACGTCAAGGCTGGTCACAGTGCTGTGGGGAAGGGGTGGCCTGTGAGGGGAGGAAGGAACCTCCCATCTAAACACTGGGAACGTCTATGGGAAAAAGGGTTTGAGATAGGACGGTTGCCTGGCCCTCTGCCACCACTACTACCAAAGGCCGCTTGCCTCTCCATGGCAGGCTTCTCTTCACTGCAGGTGCAGGAAGGCCAAGCCTCCTTAGCCCTGATGGGAGCTGGGGGCTCAGGCCTGGCAGGAAGAGTCCAGGAAGGGTCCTGTGCCCTTCTACTTCTCTTTTCCCCTCTTTTTTTTTTTCTTTTTTTTTGGTACTGTGGATTGCGTGGGGGTCTTTTCCACCTCCGTGCCTGGCTTCTCACCACCATCCCCCCGAGTGGCTAGATATAATCACCATGACAACTGCAGTCTATGAGCATACACATAATAGAGATGAAATAGACAAAAGATTAGCATGCCATGAAAAGTACAATAAGTTTCTTATTTAGCATTTAGATAACTGTCTTTCCTTCGGAGCAAGCTTCAAAGTTGAAGCCAGTTTAGACCAAGAGGATTAATTCTTTCTCCCGCATGCTTCATTGAATCTCTCATTACCAAACTTTGTCTGTATTGATGTAAGATTTGATTGAAGATTAGAGCATTTAGCAAATCTTGCTTTTCTGCATGTATCAGGTCCTTTCAAGCAGGGATCGCGGTGCCCAGTGGTCAATACCCTTACTTTTATCCAGTGTCTGCTTCATTTAAACTTAATCAACTCCATCAATGAACTGGAACAGGGAAACGTCCCTGCGGTAAGAATGTTGTGCTTTTGTGGGATAATTCTTTGCTCTTTCCCGATCCGTTGGCGTTAAACCTAAAATTGCACTATGATGAACTTTTTTTTTTTAATCAATATGATAATGACAATTGGGCCTGAACGCTCTGGTAGGACTTAGAGCAGAGCGGGATCTGGCCTCCATTACCAAAACAACTTCTCATCCTGCGAGAGCCCGACTCCTTATGTGTGGCTTTAATACCTTTTCTTCCCTGACATTGAATATTGCTCAAGCTGGAAAATGATGCATCTTTGTAGGGAAGGCTCGTGTGTCACAGCCAGAAAGTGAAGCAGACCGATTGGCTGTGTGAATTATCTGACTTGCTGTGGTGAATTATTTGCCCTGTTTCCCTACCTAGTCAACAAGTTCCTGAGGTATAGTAGAGATCAATCAAAACTGACAGCCCGCGTGTGAAGGCTTTACTGTGTAAATCTGGCGCACTCATCCTGGCCATGCCGGCCCTGGCATCTGTATATCATTTTTATACTGCTACCAGTAGAGCAATTTCGAAAGTATTTGCAAGGAAAATGCGTGTCCCCATCTGTTCTTGGAAGCATAAATGTGCCACCTTCAGAGGGTTTTCACTGGTAATCATATCTTTAATGATCAACAGACTAGTGATATATACCTTTCCATAAAATGGGGTTTTCTTCACTTTATTGTGATTGGCTAGAATAAATAGCTTTTCCATATGTTAGGGAGATAAAATATAAGATTAGCAGAGGTCGTTTGTTGGATAGTAAACAAAAGAAACAATTCATTCCAAATAATCTTTGAAAAGAAGCGACGACAAAATTAAGTTGCAATAACAGCATCTGAGGCCCCACATCAGGAAACAGACCTTGTTCTTCCTTGGCAAAGGAGCCCTTTAAGAGCAGAATCACACAGTCTTCTTGGGGACTCTGGTGGCTTACTGTCAGAGTCAGGGGAGGGAGAGGAGCAGGGTTGGGAAGGACAGACTAGAAGAGTACCTGTTTGTTCTACTTCCTTGTATGGTGTTCTTCCTGCCGGTATTTAGCTGCTGTTAGGCAACAAACCCCACCCCAGCACCCTGGGTAAGCCGGTGGGTGCTGTGTTCAGAAAGCAGGAAACTGCCAGTCTGCTGAACTTCTTTTCAGGAAGAAAGGGAGAGAGGGTTTTCTACTTATTTGAAAATAAAGACTGTTGGGACCAGCAGTTAGCGTAATGGCTATGTCGCTAGACTCCCACGTAGTCAACCACGGGTTCGTGTCCCGGACTGGTGGCTTAAAACTCATGCTGGGCACGTGTGTGTGTGTGCCCAAGATCCCAAGAGGAGAATGGAGGAGAAGGGATTGCGGCGTGACCATCCCCCTTGGGGGTGATTTCTCGCTTCCTTTTTGGCTAGAATAAATAGCTTTTCCATATGTTAGGGAGATAAAATATAAGATTAGCAGAGGTCGTTTGTTGGATAGTAAACAAAAGAAACAATTCATTCCAAATAATCTTTGAAAAGAAGCGACGACAAAATTAAGTTGCAATAACAGCATCTGAGGCCCCACATCAGGAAACAGACCTTGTTCTTCCTTGGCAAAGGAGCCCTTTAAGAGCAGAATCACACAGTCTTCTTGGGGACTCTGGTGGCTTACTGTCAGAGTCAGGGGAGGGAGAGGAGCAGGGTTGGGAAGGACAGACTAGAAGAGTACCTGTTTGTTCTACTTCCTTGTATGGTGTTCTTCCTGCCGGTATTTAGCTGCTGTTAGGCAACAAACCCCACCCCAGCACCCTGGGTAAGCCGGTGGGTGCTGTGTTCAGAAAGCAGGAAACTGCCAGTCTGCTGAACTTCTTTTCAGGAAGAAAGGGAGAGAGGGTTTTCTACTTATTTGAAAATAAAGACTGTTGGGACCAGCAGTTAGCGTAATGGCTATGTCGCTAGACTCCCACGTAGTCAACCACGGGTTCGTGTCCCGGACTGGTGGCTTAAAACTCATGCTGGGCACGTGTGTGTGTGTGCCCAAGATCCCAAGAGGAGAATGGAGGAGAAGGGATTGCGGCGTGACCATCCCCCTTGGGGGTGATTTCTCGCTTCCTTTCTCTCTGTCTCTCTCTGTCTGGCGCCCTATATATATATAAAAGACTGTCTTCCTCCACCAACCTTTTTCCCTTCTCCCACAGAAAACAGAGACTTGGGAGTGCCGGGCAAGTTCTTGACTGGACCTGAAACTAGAGAATCTAGCATAAAGGGCTTTGGGATCCACCAGGCAACTCCCAGGAACTGTCCCTAGTGATCTCGTCCCACCTGTACAGGTTACACTGAGAGGACACCGTGAGGCCCCGACCACCACCCCGCTCTCCCCAGCTCTCCCCACCCGCTCACGTATAGGGTACTGGCCCAGAGCCCTTTTTCCAGATGCAGTCACTTTCTGGTCTGCTGAGCCACCCTGGCGGAATTCGGAAGCGTCTCCCCAGGATCCCCATCCCCCAGCCCCAGAGGTTTCAAGGCAGCGACGGCCTGCACCAAGCCTCCAATTCCATTTTGTTTCCAGGGTACAGAATACCAGAATCTGAACAATGCCCTCAGCTTCCTTGCTCTTCAGAAAATGAGTGCAAGCTCTGCGGACCTGCGCGCTGCACATTAGGATTCTAGAGTGAGGAGGGGAGGTTCTCTCTAAACCGTGAGAACCGAGACAGTTAGCCTACGCTTGCCTTGGTTAAAGAAGGTCTTTGCTGTATATTGCCCCTCCCTCGTATTCCACAGTTCTTCCCTTCCCCCGAATGCCCACAGCTCTCACTGCCCAGGAGTGTGCAGCAGGAAGGTGTGGTTGTTTCAAAGTGGGAAACGTGGTCTGCAGGCAGGTCCCAAGCAGAAAGTGTGTGTTAACATTTTAGGTTTAACGCGTGTTCATTTCCTGGTCCCAGCTGATACTTGGACATAACGGGAAGGGCGGTAGGAAAGTAGCTTACCAGAGGCTCATGGCTAGAAAAAGATGGGCAAGCTACGTTGCAAAGATTTTCTTTTTACATTTCCCCTTAATTTTAGGCCCACAATCCTACAGGCTGGGTTACACATAGGCAGGCATAGTCTAGATTTACAGGTCAGTCACACTTTGCCTGACCTGAAGCCAGATTTACTATAGTGCGACAATTAAGATGAAAAGAAAAGGAACTCCCACTTGTTTCCAGCTGTGTTGTGAGGCTCTGCAGGTCTTCAGTTTGCTTACCACGAGGAAATTCTGGCTTGTGTTGTGTAAGAAACATTTTAAAAATCGAGTTTCCTGATTTCTTTAAATTTGCTATTACTCATCTTGTATCAAATGTCTGTTACTTGTTTTCATAAAATGAAAGGAATGAAAACATCCTGAATGATTTTGTGTGGAAGAGGTAAATATAATGTTTGCTCCTCCCCTCGTCCGGGAGGACGAGACTGTCATTCTATAGCTGGGACCGGTTCACACTCCAGGCTCCTGTGCTGGGCCTGGGGACCTGTCTAACTCACAAGCCTCAGTGAGCCAGGCCAGGCCACACCAGAGTGGAAGACACCTGAGGAACAGCTGCCATCGCTGCCTGTGTGGGCCCTTTGGAGGCTCTGAACCACAGTGCTAGCATCCAAGGAGCAGTACCAGGCCAGCCAAGCTTTTCTTAACCCTTAGGTCCAGTCCGTTTGCAGTAGAGTCCTTTGTTTCTTCGAAAGCACAAACCCTGTCATGGCAACTATGGGACAGACATTGAGCATTTATAAAACATTGTGTTCAGAGTGAAAATGACCTACACCTGACAATGCTGTCTCTTCTCACGTCTCACTGCCACCAGGCAACCTCCATGAGTCCATGCCTATTTCACCGAGAATGTGCTTCATCTCAGACAACCTACCAGGATACCTGTAAGAATGGGTTAATCAAGCTTATGAAAACAACCCCCCTCTCCCCTTAGAAGAAAATATTTAACCTCAACTCTAGTTCAACTATTTGAAAACAGATATAAAATAGTGTTCATTTGCAATACTGCCTCATGACTATAGTATGCATAACTATGTAGTAGTGTTTTGTTTTGTTTGTTTTTTCTTGTAGGTGCCCCTTTCTAAGTCAAGGATGAGTAGGCAGTATGATGTGTTGGAAACAAATTTCAGTTTTTGAAATAAGCTTAAGAAAATGATTCTTTTGGTTAAGAAAAATACATTCAATCGATAGTTTAGTTTAAATGAACTCTCAAAATTTGGTATCAATGAACAACCTTTAAGTTGAATTCCAGATTAAAATGCCACTTAGATCTTAAAAGAGTCAAGGCATTGTAAAGTTAGCAGAAAATGAAAACTGAGATAGAAGTTCATTATTTGTTTTCCCTGTTCTAAACAGCATACCACTAATAGTTTTGGTCACTCTGGCTTTTATTAGGGATTTTTATCGTGTTCCAGAAGGAGATGACAGGAAAGCAACTTGTGTAGTTAATAACCTCGGTCCGAAGAAGTGTATTTGCAGGCAAAATTTCTACAGTCATCAGCCTTGTCTGGGAACACGAGGAATGTGTTTTCATTTTAGGTCACAACAACTAGGTTAAGCAATTTATTATTAAGGTCGGGATAAAATATTTGAGTTTTTAATGGGGAATGGGGTAGGAGAAAGGAAGCGAAAGTAACTGACCTGTGCGGCCAGAGGACCCTCCAGGCACGAGTGCAGTGGGGAAGTGTGGCTTTTAGGCAGCACTTTGCCACTCGTTTCTCAAGTCATGGAGCCAGCCTCCTTGGGAAGCGGGTTGCAGGTGTCAGATCCCCGGCTCTCCCACTTGCACTCAATTAGCTTTTGCCCAAAGATTTCAGGTACCTTCTTCTGGACTCCCCTCCCCCACCCCACCGCGGGCACCAAGAGGACCCGACGGCGGTTTCAGAAAGCTGAATGGCGATCCCGTCCGGGGTCCAGGCCCCGGCACCGTCCACCACGCCGCGCTGCTGGGCGACAGGGGTAAGTCGGCGGGGCTGGCACAGCCTCCGGGGCACG